TTAAACTTTTAAACAACACATTTAGTTTTTGCGTGATGTAATGAAGTATCATATGAGTTGATTATGGTCACGACAATATGTAATTGTTTCACTGTCTTTATAGTATGAATGTTTTTCATATACAGAAATACATGTTTTTGCGTATAGTGCTGAAAAATATTTTCTTCACAAAGTGCAAATTTACACAATAGAATAATTGTTCCAAAACAGTATCTGCCTGTTATATGTACAAATCATACATTGTAAAACAGCCCCTTAGCTCTGTTCATAACTATGACCATGGAACTCTTTATAACAGTTATGAGCGTTAAAACCAAGAGCACGAGCTTAGTGTGTGATTTGTCTGCTGTCATCAATCTTGCAGGAAAAGTGTGTTTTTTTTTGGGGGATGGGATGTTTCAAGTATCTAAATAATGTATACATTTTCTGAGCGGTTTCGTTCGTGAAATAGGAGCAGTAACAAAATTGTTGGTATTACACAAGAGAGATACAGAATATTTCCTTATGAAAACAAAAATCGATATCAAATATCAAAACGATATGTATTTTAATTTAATCACTAATTGAAAATCGTGCACTCTTATTAATATTCCATAGTATGATATTAAAATTGCTCAGAAGGAGGTTCTGCATAGAAATAAAATTAATGGAAAAAAGTGGTATTAGAGGAAAATACTTCTCATTATAACATACGTACACAAATTATTAACTTTTATATTCATATGTGAAATACAGAGTCACATCATCGTAGTTTCACTCAAAAACTTTAACACCAGCTGTTAAAATTCTAATATATGATCCAATACGGGAACATTCTGGAAAGATATAATGACAGTTATAGCTTGTTTTCAAAACAAGGGCTATCTTTAGGATTTGTTCGCTTGTTCTTGCCGAAATCAGTGTCATGTTGAATAAAACGTATTCATAAATACGTTCGTTAAGTCATTACATAAAGAAATGTTGTTTAAACTTTGTGTTATTAAGCTTCTTAATCATATTTCACACATAAACTCAAGCATAGCTCAAATACAAAATACATGACCATATTATTTTTAGAGGTTTTCATGGTTTTGATGTATTGCTTTATAATTACTAGTCTATGAAATTAAGTTTCCAACTTCATGTTTATGTAAGAAAGTCTACCGAAAAAGAGTACATTTTACAATTGAGTTGTTAGTAATATTGAAGTTATCTATACATCTATACATTGACTATACTAATACACATATTTTTGTCCTTACTCCATGTAATTATCTTACAAACTTCAATAATTAGAGACAAAAAAACTGTTTGTACAAAAGCAGAATGGAAGAAGAAAGCCTACTTCGTACTCACTTAGACTAAACAACATCCAGACTAGTTAGATGTTGACACATAGTATTTATTACTGTAATAGATGATCGAAACATCACAAGCAATACGATCTCCACCGGAAAAGATCATGCCTGATGATTATCTGTTGGGAGAATGTACTTCTTGTACATGTCTGCAATTTCTCACACAGACAATAACACATGTAGCACTTAGTTCATCCTTGTATTTTTCTGTAATATTTTCACATGATGTTAAAAGTAGTGTTATGTATAGTACTTTGTCCTTCCTTCTGTTGGAAGCAGTGTTATATGTAGTGCTTAGTCCATCCTTCTGTTGGAAGCAGTGTTATATGTAGTGCTTAATCCATCCTTCTGTCCCCCAGTGGCACAGCGGTATATCCGTGGACTTACAACGCTAGAATCCGGGTTTCGATACCCGTGGTAGGCAGAGCACAGATAGCCCATTGTGTAGCTTTGTGCTTAATTACAAACAAACAAACCATCCTTCTGTTGGAAGCAGTGTTATATGTAGTGCTTGGTCCTTTCTTCTGTTGGAAGTAGTATTATATGTAGTGCATATTACATACTTCTGTTGGAAGTAGTGTTATATGTAGTGCTTGGTCCTTTCTTCTGTTGGAAGTAGTATTATATATAGTGCTTATTATGAAGCGATAGTATTGAGAGTATTATATATAGTGCTTATTCCATCCTTCTGTTGAAAGTAGTGTTATATGTAGTGCTTCTTTAATCTTTCTGTTGGATGTATTATTATATGTAGTGCTTGTTTAATATTTCTGTTGGATGTAGTGTTATATGTAGTGCATGGTTCTTCCTTTTGTTTGAAGCAGAATTATATATGATGCCCTATTCATCCATGTCTGTAATGTCTCAATGTCTGTTGAATGGACTAATATATATTATTACTCATTATATTTTTGTATAAATCAACAATTTATCTCACGTCCTGTAAAAGTAATGTTACATATCTAGTATTCAATTCATCCTTGATTGAATTTGTAAGCATAGTAATACTCAATCCATTAGTGTAACGCATCATTTCATGGCGAATACAGAGTTACACGTACAGCATTTAAAGCTGGATTTTTAGCTTATGATCTACAATCACCTTAAGATCACATATACGATAAATAATGTTTATAAAACATCTGATATGAAAGTTTTCAATTTACGGCCTTAGTAAGCTGTCATTTTAGTGTTTTTCTTTTGATGAAATCTGAAACGTGTCAGTGTGTGTCTTTGAACTGGCCTATTAGTTTTAAATTCTTTAAATTTTTAAACATGGGATGCCACTATACCTTAAGTTGAGACAAACAAGAGCAGAAACTTTACTTGCTTGGTTTGATTTCAACAGTAGATTCCAATTTACCGACAAGCACACCTTTATAATACTCGGCTCTCTGTTTGTAAATATTCCTACATTCACGCACGCGGATCCTCAATGATTAACCAAATAAGCTTTTTGGTTGAAGTACAAACCGAGTCTTGAGATTCTTAGTGACTTTATGAGACTGGTTATAGTTCTGAAACAACATGATGCATGGAGGCTTTTTACCATCTTTAACAACCATCCATATATATATATATATATAGATAGATAGATATAGATATAAGTTTTTGAGCACCTCAATTATTGAATATCTATTGTTTTTGAATATCCTCTAGAGGTTCGTTAGCTCTACCGAATTATAGCGAAAAAGAATGAAAATCTCTAGGTTCAGTATAGCATTTCTACTCAAGTGGCTTCGTTTGTTAATAAAGATGTTTTACCTATCAAACTTTTCTGATATTTTTTTATTAAAATAAGGCCTAACAGTATTTTAAAGGTCATTATTGTTTAGAGATTGACTTAATCTTAACTCAAAAATGTTCAAGACTCACCAAAAGTAATGTTAAAACTAGTTTATATCTTTAAGCTAGTTAAGAGTAACAGATATTTAAACTTGAAAGATTACGAAACATCTGAATTTAAATACTGATTTTATTTGTTGAATTTTGCGCAAAGCTACCCTAGGGTTATCTACACTAACTGTCCCTTATTATGAAGCGATAGACTAGAGAGAAAAAGGGTTAGACAACACCATTCTCTTCTAATTCTTTGGATACTCTTTACCAAATAATAGTGTGATTTTCCGTCACATTATAACATATCCACGGATCAAGGAGAGAAATGTTCGGCAATGGGTTTTGATTCTGAAGATTGCGAGTCGAGTGTCCTGACCACCTGATCATTCCCAATTTTATTAAAGGAACTTTCAAGCTGAAACTGTATTGAACCAGTTTAGAATACAAAACACGTTACCAATAGTCTCGTTGCAATATATTAGTAAATTCTTGCAAACAAAACATACATATATTTTAAGAATGTGCTCATGTTTAATTGAAATATAGTGCGATTTTTTTCTTCAATTTTTTAATGTTTTGTTTTTAGCTCCAAATAGCTCATTATATAATAGTGCCGTCTCCAAGCATTATTAGTCTTAAAGTGGGTTCCTCGTCATCGAATTTGAGCCCATTATATAGCTATACACTTAAAAATAAATAAATAAATTTAGCACTAGCATATAAAACAACAAGTAAAATTAAATAAAAACAACATTTTGGTTTTATAAGGTCGTTTATTTCTGGTATTAATGTCTTCTATACACTAATATGTACTATAAGAATTAAATAATAAGTAAAATGTATCCAAAGCTACTGAATGATATTGTACAATGTTTGAAAACAATAAGTTACTAATCAACGCAAGATGTTCATAAATAACAACGATTTTACCATCAACGCAAGATGTTCAGGAATAACGAAAAAAGGGCTTTATCAGCGAACGATTGATATTCAGATGTAAAGAAAAAGTAAACAACTAAGCGTTTTATGCATTACGAAAAAACGAAAAGCGTGATTTAAAACATTTTAACACCTTTTATTCTAGTTGATGACAGTGGAATATGTATTTGTTGAAAAAAAAAACAACTAATTTGCGCAAACAAAATGTTTATAGTGTAAATTGCTTATTTGGATTAGACGTCAGTATGAATATTAGCACGGAATAGACTTATTAAGCGATGGAAAAATCAATTTATTTACAAAAATACCATTACAATTAATACAAAAGTACAATTTGAAAACAAAATTGTTTTCATGGAAGACAACTAAAAACTCAAAAAATAATTAAAATATCAAAAGTAATAAAGAATAAATATTGAATATTTTCACAGCAACAATAAAATACATTAGAAATTAAGGCCATTAGAAATGAACTGGAATCTATAACCTTGCAATAAAGGCAATGGAAGAAATAAAGAGCATCATTATTTGAAATATGAATAGGTTTTTTGAAGAATTGGAATATACTACCTTTTTTACTTATGTTAAGAATCATTAACACCAAAATTTTTGATGGATGGGAATCGAAATTGCAATACTTTTTATCCTTAGTGAGTAATTTCAATTGCCCTCTTGATAATAAATAAAAATGCCGATATGTCAACCGAGAGCTCAGCTGGTAGAGGCGTGTACTTTCTCGTTTTAAAACCAATAACATTACTGGCACCAAATGCCGAAAGAGGGCGCCATAATAGGGTTCTATTTTACGGGAGAAACGGTTGGTACGAGGAGTTTAGTGTATTAAGAGTAATTGGAAATGGTGAATGCATGCATGTAGTAGAGATGCAAATAAAATGATGTAAAACATCACGTTGCAGTTGATAAACATGCTTGTTTATTCAACAAAAACTGTTGCATGTTACTCCGGCAGACAGCAAATAAAACAAAAAAAAAGCTTTTTTGTTTTACTTGAAATAGTGTTACAAGTGATATGAAAACTGTAATAAATGAGTAACAATTCAAAAGGAGTGTAAGAAAAAGAAAAAAACTGTATATGAGCGAAATCTCGTATAAAATAAATAATCATCTTAAAGAGGACTCCGTATAAGGTAATTTTTTCCCATACGCAATATATATTTGAATTACCTCAAGATCAAAGTCTAGCTCTACAATACTGGTAAGGTGAGTAAATTTTGGTATGAGAGAATTAATTAGTTCTAAAAGCTTTAATATTTGTATATTTTCTAATACTGTAGAGCATCTTAGTTTATTATCTCTAGAGTGATCTACGTACTTCGTTTAAAACGCATATATTTTTTTCTTATTTCACGAAGCTTTTAGATTTTGAGCGATTCTAGTTAAAAGAAAATATATGCAAATATTCTTAAAATAGGCAGATTTACCAGAGTTAAACTTTTCAGAGACGTAGAGGTTGAAACTAAATATATCGCTTCAGTGAGTGAAATTCGAGACGCACCAGAAAGAACAGTAAGAAAATAATAGCTATAAAAAACCTAAATACTGAATTACTTCTTTCCAAATCTTAAGAAAACATTTCTAATCTTCCATTATAAGATCAAAATAATGTGAGTCTTTTATGTAGCAGAATGAGTTTTAGAATAGATATACGTTAAAAAAATGTTCAAAGTTTGTTTGTTTGTTTTTTAGGAATTTCGCGCAAAGCTACACGAGG